ACGTTCACGTCATGTCATTACCCTTTTATCAGCTTCGTCCTTCAAGGCTGACTGATAACCTCAGAGAGTTCCACTGTCACTACGAATCAGATGTCGAAGAAGAGAAATTATCCCTACTGTAAAATGTGGCTATGTCCTTAGAGAACTATGGGTAGTCCTTTCGCGACAGGGCATCTGTCACGCTGCTACACCGTTGAACCACCGGTGCATACATAGTTCGAACCGCTGACGCATCGCTCGTACCCCGCGATATCGTGTCTTGCGAGTTCTTTACGACCTCATACAGCGCGGCGGTCCCGCAACGACCGCTAGTCGAGCAAGCGCTCTGCACAGCTGCTTGGAGGCGGCCCCACCACGGATCGGTGGATCCGCCCCTCTTGAAGGATTTCGACTGCTTCCAACGCCTTTCAGAGGTAAGTTTTGAAGTTTGTGACATTTCCCATGAACTCCAATCAGGCTGAGGCATGTTTCCACCACTTGAAAACCAAATGGTTGAAACCCTGCCTGGACTGTTGCTTTAATATCGTTTCTTGCTCCATTTGATTTCTATTCCTTATCATTCATTAACTATTGTAATCTCACTTTTCATTCCTACATTATTTTTGAGACCCGTTGTTGTGCAACAGCCGTAAATAAAAAAAAAAAATAGCACCGACAGAGCAGTGGGTTAGTATTGATATGGTGGATCAAGATTGTGGTATCGAATCCATTTGAAGTAATGGGTTTGGATTAGCATAGAAATTTGTTCAAAAATGTCTGATAAAAATGAGAGCTAACCTGCTTCCAACCTTCTTCAAAAACAGAGGCCGAATGGTCGAGAATGAACATGACTGCTTTACTCTCCCCCAACTTTTCTCTGCAGTGAAGACATATTGTTCCCTAAAGTAATAGTGTATCTGTTCTGGGGCTCGTTTTTTGCGTCTTCCTATCTGCATATCTGATCTTTTCGCATTAGTCGCATATTCCGTGGACTTTCGGTTGTGCGTCAGCGCGTCCGGTAATAAATAGGTACTCGGTTGTCGATGCTCAGGTACTTGGTACACTAATGAAGAGAACAGACAAGCTGCTGCGGACTCTTAAGGGTTGCTAATCGACACGTAATTCGCATTAGAGGATGTCCTACGCGATCTAGCATGGCCTTCCCCGCGGCGCAGTTGGCGTGCTATCGACGCGGTACGCCCCCTACTGAGCATTAGCTGTTTGGCAGAGAGGGCGTTAGCGTTGAAGAAGGCAGCAACGATCAGAGTCGCATCAATGCGCAAATC